TATTAGAGTTGCAAGGAGCTTTGAGCAGTAACTAAAGCACTGAGGTCTATCTATTTGGACCTTCAGTCTGAGACATCCACTCACTGGGGTAGGCTGACTCAAACCTTCTTCTTTTAGGACTCTGAGCCCCCATCCACCATTATCTTTTGAAAGCTCATACAATGCACTTGACCGTTTGCTGCTGAAAATTTGTAGAGTTCTAAGAGTCCCCCAGCAAGTCACCTAGAGCCACATTCTATCTTGTCGATCACTAGCCCCTCTTAATGATTAGGACTAATGACTTTGACCAATAGTGACTGTGTATTTCCTTCTGATCTGCAAACACAAGGACCTCAGAGTGACAGGGGAACAGACATAGTTTAAATTCCGCCGAGATGGTCCATCTGCTCTGATGCAAGCATTTCCCTCTGGGATTCCGGCCCATAGAGCAGTGCAGTCTGGTAGGATGTTTTGCAATAATGGAAATCTTCTGCACTGTCCAACATCCTTGCTACTTTTTCATGTGGCCATTGAGTACTTAAAATGTGCCAAGTGTGAATGGGGAACTGCATTTTTAATTACATTTAAGTCTAAACTCCCACATATGGTTAGATGGCTACCTTATTAGATAGTGTAGTTGTTTAAGAATGGAAGGAGAGGAAACAACAGTCTTCCTTCCGATGAGTCAGCCCAGCACTTGGAGGGGTCATTCCTATCTCCACCCTTCAGTTTCCAGACCCATGTATTCTACATATCATGCTTCTTGATTTGGGATGTACAGTGCAGACTTGGAAGAGGAAGCTGTCTTTACAGAACACGATCTTCAAGTTGACATCTTACCCAAAGCTTCAAGAGACCATCCTTTATCCTATCAAGCAGTCAGTTTATTGATGATGGATAGTATAATGAGACCAGTGGTTGCTTTTGTCATTTCCCCAATTCCATGTTTATTTTGCTTAATGGATGTCTTAGTTTGAGGGTATGTTCCACGGATCCCATGACAGTGGGCCAAACACTGTGCTTCTGGGTAATAGTGTTGACCAAGTCTCTGGGGCAGCTGATCTCCATCAACATGAAGTTTTATTTCTGGGTGGAAGGGTCCAGTTTAACTTGCTAGGTAACTGCTTGCTTCCTCTGGTGATGGTATCAGCTCAAGGGTCTCTATTACCTGACAAATGAGAGGTTCCATCCTCATGTCTAAGTATTCCTACTTCTTCATCACCACTATTTTCTGCTATGTAATTTTACTAGTTTTTAAAAGCCATGTGTATGTGTGTGTCTGTGTGAAGAAATGTACAAGGGAGTACAGGTACTCACAGAGGCCAGAAGAGGGTGTCAGATCACCTGGAGTAGATCACCTGAATTGCCTTATGTGGGTGCTGGGAACTGAACTGGGGTCATCCATAAGAGCAGGAAGCATTCTTATCTTAGTGATAAGCCATGTCTCCAGCCCTGCTTCATGTCATATTCTGTGGTTTAATATTTATATTTCCATTATGGTTAATACTGTGAAGTATCTTTTCATGTACTTACTGGTCATTTGTGTATCTTTGAACAATGTCCACTCAGATTCTTGACTCTCTGCTTAAGTGGGTTGTGTGTTATGCATGTCCTTACTGCATTTTGAACCCTTTCCTGATGATTTCCTTTGGCACACAATAAGGCTTGTTTTATCAATTGTTTTACAAATGCTGTGAATCATTGCATTACATTGTTAAGTTCTTTATTGTTAATTTTTATTTATGTGAGGCCAGAAGAAGGAGTCAGATGTTGGAGCTAGAGCCACACAAAGCTGTCTATGAGTGGGCCAGTATGGGTGCTGAGCCATCTCCCAGCCACACATTTAAAAATCTGACATATTAAAGCATGGCACGGCTACACTGTTGGCTCTCACTAGCCAGCGTTTCCCATTATACAGCAGTTTAAGGCCCCAACCTAGCTTACCCTCCCACTTACAGATGGTTAGAAATGTCCTCTGAATCATTGTGACAGTTGATACTTCATAGCCACAAACCTCAGAGAATACTCAATATTGCTCAGTCACCCCACATTTCCCAGCAAATTTAGTGTTCTCTTTGACAAGGATTTTAAGTATTCATATAGTATATTATATTATATATAATTAGATACACATAACTATGTCTATAAATAAATATAGATGTAAATAAATAAAAATAAAATGCTAATGTGTAAAAAAAAAAAAAAGCCACTAGTTGGAAGTGAGGAGCCAACAGCGGCAAAAGTCAACAATGACAGATAACCAATTGGAGTTAGCTTCAATCCATTCATTTATATATTTATATATAAATATATATATTTATGGTATTTTGCCTGCATGTGTATATGTATGTGTTCCTTGTGTGTACAGTGCTCATAGAAACTAGAAGAGACCACTTGGAACTGGAGTTATAGTAGACAGCTGTAAGCCTCGATGAAGGTGCTGGGAATTGAACCCACGTTTTCTGAAAGAGCTACAAGTGTTTTTGACCACTGAGCCATCTTTCCTGCCCTTCAATTTAAAAAAATTACATCTCCTGCCCAAACACCCACCCCATATATCCCTTGTCATTTGACTTTGAGCTGTTGACCCTCCCTTGTATGTGGAAGTAACAAAAACTGCAACAGAAACAAAGTCTTCATCAGGAATGCCAGTGTGAGACAGGATCTTATTTTTTCCATGACTGAACTGAATTCTACGTCACTTTCATTCCACCTATGGTAAAACCAGATTTTTGTTGCTTTTGTTCTTGTACTTTCCATCTGAGTGCATTCAAGGCTTCAGTCTTCCCTGAATTCTTCCCCAAGTGGCCATTTGGATCTGAGGGCTTTGTGTAGTGTGATTTGGAAAAGTCCCACATTCCAACCAAAAAGCCAAAAAGCATGAGAAAATCTACATGCTCAACCTAAAAACAGTTTTGGTTTAGAAATAGTCTTTATTTCTTTGACTGATTTTTTTAAATTTAAACTAAAACATTTTTTAATTTAAATTTAAAATTGTATTTAAATTTAATACAATATTAAACTGATGTGTACATTGGAATTGGAGGTCAGAGGTGCACATCAAGTGTGTCCCTCAGTCACTTTTTGAACCAGGGTCTTTCCTTGAACCTGAAGCTGACCCATTAGGCCAATAGCTAGCTCCATGGATGTGCCTGTCCCTGCCTCTCCAGTGCTGGGTGACAGGTGCAGGCCACCACATCTGGCTTCTTACATGGTGGTGAGGATTGAAATTTTGTCATCATGCTTCCATGAACTTTGCCAACTGAGTCACCTTCACAGGTCCTAGAAATAGCATTTCTTACTAAAAGGCACCAGAGTACCGCATCCCTGGCCAGCATCATCCATCCACTGTGGCATCTCTTCATCATCACCGCCCCCACACAATGGCTCCTTTTTCAGAGAAATCTTTGCCAAGTCAACTTGTTGAGGTTGCCTCTCTGTGCCTCCCTTGTTCTCTGGGTTCCCCACGCTATCTTATGTTTCTTCAGGAACCTCAATGCATTCTTCAACTTTGGCATTTTGCTATCAGGCCTAGAGTTAGTCACCTCCTCTTCCTCCAATACCTTCTTCTCTTCTTCCTTTCATTTTTCCTCTTCCCCTCCTTCCTTTGCCTTCATCTTCTCCCCCCCCCCTCCGCTTTATCCTTCTCCCTCTCCTCTTGTCCTTTCTCCTCCTCTTCCCTTATCTGTTCTTCCTCTCTCCCTCCTGTTTCTTCCCCTCCTTTCTTCTTCCTCCTCTCCCCCTCCTTGCTTCCTTCCCCTCCCTCTTCCTCCTCCTCTAATTCTCAATTAGGATGCGGCATTGCTGATTCCCCATTGCTTCATGTCATAGACTTCTGAATTCAAATGTAATTGCTTCTCTAAATTAATTTTGGAAGGATTAACATTACCACCTTACAAAGCCTTACAGCTTATAAGTAGATTGAAGCTTTAGGTTGTTCTGGGTTTCTTTAATGGCTATTTCTTTGTAATTTTGACATATGGATAACACATACTTTGAACACAGCAATGAGCTTGCTGTGCCCTACGTTTCTGGGGATTTTTGTTTTTTAAATGCTTTATTTTCTTTCAGCCACTCCTTTATTTTGTGCTTCTATTTTGAGAGTCTAACAAGCTCTCATTCATATGCCATTTTTAGGTGCTTTTTAAAACCTTTCCAAGGAACTCTCATTGTTTTTTTAGGCACATCTCCATTTACCTTTGTGAGAGGCTAATGCCTGCAGCTCCCTGTAGGTTCAGGCCCTATTGTGATGGGGTTCTGCATATACTATTTTTTTATTTCATTATTTTTATGTGTTTGTGGCAGTGGAGGGGGGCATGCTTGTGTCACAGAGAACATGTGGGCATCATAGGACAACTCACCGGAGTCAGTTCTCTCTTTCTGCCATGTAGGTCTGAGAGCACCAACTCAAGCTTGGCAGTAAGCGCCTTTACCCGCCTGTGTCTGCCTTCTGGGTGTATTGTTTGAAATGGAATTGTTTTCTACCTTCACGTTTCTAATGTTCATCGCTGGTGGGTCTGCTCTGGCCTGCATGCTGTCCTTCCTCCAGAATTTCTGTGTTGGAATTTAACACCTCTGAGGCAACAGTATCAAGAGGCAGGGTCTTTGGGGAAGGTTAAATGACAGTGGTTCCACTCTCCTGGATTTACTGATTTATAAAAGGGCTTTAGGGAGTGAGGTTAACCCTTCCCTCCCTTCTACCATGTGAACATGCTGCAGCAAGACAGCCATCTGTGGGGCAGATAATAAACCCTTACAGACAATGCATCGGCAGGCTTCTTGGTCCTAGGTTCTGCACCTTCAGAACTGTGTGAGAAACAGGTTTCTTTGTCAGTGGATTGCCCCACCTGAGCAAATGTGGTAGTCATCCAGACAATGAGCGAATAAGTATTACTACTTTTTATGGATGCTGGGGTTTCAGTTGGGTTTGTAACAGGTTCTATAGGTCATTTTAAAGAGAATTAATATCTTAAGAATTTTGAGAACCAATGTACAGCTATAATCAGGAGACAGGCAGCAGGATGATCGTGAGTTCAAGAGCAGCCTAGGTTATGTATGGAGACCTTGTTTCAAGATAAAACAAAATGATGATAAAGTGTGTGTGTGTGTGTGTCTGTGTGTCTGTGTGTCTGTGTGTGTGTGTGTGTGTCTGTGTGTGTGTGTGTCTGTGTGTGTGTGTGTGCATGTGCCACATGATACAGTTGCTTGCAGAGCCAGAAAAGGATTCTGTATTTCCTGGAGCTGGAGTTACAGATGGATGTGAGCTACCCACTATGGGTACTTGGAGGCAAACTTGGCTCTTCTGTGAGAACAGTATACACCGTCTCCCCAGCCCCTTCCCCAACTTTCCTGCTGATGTCCTTATTTTGTTCTAGGACACCTCAATACACACACTTGTTATGTCTGCTGTGGTCATTCTTTCCTTGTTGTCAATGGGCTTGGCAAGACAAAGAATTCTGTTCAGACATTTTAAACTATGACCCTCACCTTAGATTCATCTGCTGCTTTCTAATGACTTAGCTGAAGTTATGGATGGGCTGTATGGCCTTGCACTGCAGCATTTAGAGGCACGCGGTGACATTTATGAAGCAAACCTTGGTTATTTAGTCAAAGTCACCATGTAGATTTCGAGCTGTTTTGTATTTCAACTCTATTGGGAATATTATCTAATTTCCCTTATGACTTCCATTTTGACTCATGAGTTATTTCATAGCATATTGCCTAATTACTAAGTATTTGGGGGGTTTTCCAGATACCATTGTTATTTACTTGTAATTCTATTCTGTTGTGGTCAGGGGACATTCTTTATGTGGTCCAAATGCTTGTAAACTTGTTGAGATTTGCTTTAGTGTCAGGAATGTAGTTGCACCTTTAGTGAATGGTTTGTGTTGTTGGGTTGAGTGTGCTTCAGATGTTAGCAAGGTCACTGGGTTAGTGGTGTGTGGTGTTCTTTAGTCTTTGATATTCTGATTGATGTTGATGTTCTGTGTTCCACAGACAACAGGGAAGAATTGACATTTCAATATAATTATAGATTTCTACTCAGTTCTCTTAGGTGCCTTGGTTTTTTTTTTTGGGGGGGGTATTGTTTTTCTGAGACAGGGTCTCACTGTGTAGCCTAGGGTGGCTTCAAGCTTGGCAACCCTTCTGTCTTAGCTTTCTGAGTTCCAGGATTGCTGTATTCCTGGCTTAGTTGTCTTGTTGCTTCATATATTTGGAAAGCCTTTGTCAAGCATACAGGAAGTTAGGATTGTTATATTCTCTGAGCTAATTTACCTACCACTTTATCAGCATAGATATTTAATTTTATACATATTAAGATTTCTTGTTCTGAACTCTAATTTGATAATATTAACATAGCCACTCCAGCCTTGCTCTGGCTTGTGATTATAAAATTTTTTAAAAATTACAACTGTGGGAGATCCACTGCAGTTTACATGGAAGCAAAGACTTGGAATTGCAACACCCAGAAAACCTGTCTTATCTGTCAGTGCAAGAAAAATTAAGAACAATGCAGCTGATTGGCATAACTTAATCCTGAAATGGGAAACCCTCAGTGATGCTGGTTTTACCACCGCAAGCAATATTGCCAATCTAAAAGTCAGCTTGTTGAGTAAAGAGAAGGTTGAATTAGAAAGCAGCAGTCCAGCTTCCAGTAAGAAGGAAGAAAAGAGTCTGGACTACAACAAGGAACTTGAAGCACTGTGTGAGGTGCTGCAGGCCACCGTGGATGGCTTGACTAAAATTCAAATGAAAATGGAAAAGCTGTCTTCAACCACCAAAGGTATTTGTGAACTAGAAAATTATCATTACAGGGAAGAAAGTAACCGGCCCCTTCTGTTTTACACATGGCCCATGGCCTTCTTTTATGAGGTCTCTCACCGGCTCTCTGACGCATACAAGAAGGTGCTCCTCCTGAAGCACACCATTGGCACAGAGCTAGCCCATACAGTCACATATGTATACATACAAATGTATTTATAAATTGCAAATATATATTTTTCAGTTCTGTAGAGTTAATTGAGTTTGGTATCATAGAGATGGAAGCCACTTACCAAGAATTACTGCTGTTTGCCTTTGGGACAACCAATAAAAAGACCAGCGATCACAACTGTTAAAAAAAAAAAAAAAAAAAAAAAAAAAAAAAAACTGTGTGTTCTGGGGAGTGAGTGCTCTCACCCCACAGTGAATGTCTAGAGGTCAGAGGACAACTTGCTGGAATCAGTTGTTGCCTTCTACTCTGTGGACCCCAGTGAACTAACTCAGCTGGTCAGGCCTGGCAGTGGGTGCCTCTTTTCACCCAGTGAGCCTTCTAACTGCCCCTGGATTGTGTTGTAATGATACACATAGTCAGTCATCTTGCTTTTATTAAATTAGTAGACTTGTTTTACCTTTGAGACTGGAAATTAACCCAGTATCCATTTGACCACTGAATTCATTGTACCTCCAACCATTTAAACTATTTTTGTTGCATTTAATTTACTTATTATTGCAAGTGTGTGTGTGTGTGTGTGTGTGTGTGTGTGTGTGAGAGAGAGAGAGAGAGAGAGAGAGAGAGAGAGAGAGAGAGAGAGAGAGAGCTCATGCACTTGTCCTAGCATGTATATGGAATTCTAAGAACAACTTGTGAGGACCATCTCCCTTCTTTCCCACCACGTGGGTCCTGTGGCTAGAACTCAAGTTATCAGTCTTGGTGGCAAGCACTTTTACCAGCTGAACCACCTTGTAAGTCCTGTCTCCAGCCTTTAGTCATTATTTTTAGGTAAGTTTTAAGTTTAGAGAGAAACTGGGGGGGGGTGCTCTCACTTATCCTGTCTTCATCTCTCCACAGTTTCTATTCTCCAGCATCATGTAACCCATGGGATAGGTTTGTTGTAATCAATGAACAGATGTTAATGCCTCATAACAACCAGGTCTACAGACTTGACAAATGTACAGCGAGGTGGGTCAGTCATTAGAGTATCACACAGAGTAAGAGTAGTGTCCCACTCTAAAAATTCCAAAAATATGCATTCCACCAATTCATCCCCCTGGCTACTCATAACCACCAGTCTTTACTGCCTCTGTAGTTCTGGTTTTCCCATAATGTCTTGTAGAGTCTTATACTATACAACCCTTCATATGAGGCATTTTCACTTAACAATGTGTGTTTATATTTCCTCCACAGTTTTGTGTATATTTCCCAGTGGTTCTTTTTTTTTATTGCAAAATAGTATTTCACTGTACAGTTGTATTACAGTTTGTCAGTCCTTTCATCTATTGGCTGCAAGCATGTTTTGGAAACTTCATGTAAAGTTGCTATAATATGTATATGCAAATCTTTTGTGGAGGCATCTGTTCCAACTCACTTGGCTAGCTACCAAGGAGTGTGGTTACAGGATCACAGGTTAAGAGCATTTGGGTTTGTGTGAAACTTGCCAAACTATCTTCCAAAATGACTGTACTATTTCTTTACTCCTACTAGTAATGAATGAGGTTTCTGTAACTTCATGTTCTGCAAAAGCAGGTGTAAAGCGCATGTGTAAGAGTCATCATTGTCTTAATTTGCAACAGTGTGATCCACAGCATGACGTCTAATGTCTTTTTATTCTCTCTCATACACACACATTCACGCACGTGTGCTCTCTCCTTCACACAGACACGTCCAGACACACACACACACACACACACACACACACACACACACGTGTGTGTTCTCTCTTCCACACATACACATGTGCAAACAATCGCTGGTCCTCTGTAAGGGCCAAGGGCAACTGGTGCATTACTGCTCATCCTTCTTCACCCCCTGCATTGAAAATACTTTCATCCTCTTTATTTATTTACTTCCAATCACCTCTATTTCTTTTGTGGGATAGGTCTGTGGACAGTGGATTTTCTCAGCTTTTGTGGGAAAAGATTTAGATCTTCTGGCATACAAGTGAGTAGAAGTTGCTACTATGTTCTAAAGATAAATAAAAAAGATGATCAAACTGGAAGAAAACAAAACAAAACAAAACAAAACAAAAAACCAGCCAAGCAATTTTTGGAGGGGTCTGAAAGTGACATCACAGGATAGCCTCTGTTTCCCAAACTGGAGAAACAAAGAGGGAAAAAAAAGCCATACACAAAAACAAAACAAAGCCCGCCCACAATCTCCCAGATCCTCAGAAGAGCAATACCAGCATCGCCTCAGAGGACCCAGGAGGGGCATAGAACACACTGGAAGCTCCTGCTGGGAGCTCTGTGTGGTCAAACTTCAGAGGTAAAAACCGAGTCAGTCCCCAGTCACCCAGGCACCCACCATGCTTTTCTATATTTATCTCCAGAAGAGCGTTCATATTCTCACAGAGAAGATTAAAGAAAGAGCAGTTCCTGGTTCTACAAGGGAAAGAGAAAAAGACTCATCCTGAAATGTAAAATTCTTCCTTTTTAACACATTCTTCCTTGGGGAGAAGTTGTTTACCAGAGTGTGACCGACTGGGGTTTTATCAGAACCTAATGGACATGGAGAAAAGAGAAATACCATCTTTGGGACACTTTTGCCATCCTGTTCCTCCTAAAGGGACAGAGATACACTGGAGAAGTTAAAATTCCAGGGCACAGGCTCCCCAAGGAATGCATGTGCAGGTCTGATTTTGACTGTAGAATCACCCCCCAACATTTTTCTACTTTGAACTTCAAGTCAGGGTCTCTCAATCAAACCCAGAGCTTGCTCATAGGGCTCATCCAGCAGCCAGCTTATTCTGACCTTGCTTTCTAAACCTGGAATTACAGTCAGATCTCTATCTCCAGTGAGCTTTTTATTTGAGTTTTGAGGATCCTAACTCTGGCCCTTAGGCTCAAAGCATTTAACCTGCGGAGCTATCTCTCGGCACAGAGATCCAGCAGCAAAGCCAAAGGTTTTGGAATTATCAGACCTGAATCTAAAGCATCGATTAGCATGTTAAGGGATCTAGTGGGTTGTGGTGGGAGATCCTTCCTAGTGAGGCACAGATACAGGAACTAGCCAAGGACCTTGTAGTTTCCCCTGAGCAGCCATCTCAGCCTCAGATGCACTCTTACTGCACAGCCATAGCTGTGACCAGGTGACCTCTGCCCTCCCCCGAACTCTGTCCCCATTTCACTTCTCTAGTCAACACATTTAGCCAGTCTTACTAACTTACTAACAATTGGAGTTGGGGGTCCCCAGTCTCCATCTCCCAAATGCTGGGAGTGCAGGTCACTACCACACCTGCCAAGTTTTTACAGGGGTTCAGGGATGGAACCTTAGGTTCTCATGTTGGTAGGCAAAGGCTTTATCCACTAAGGCATCTCCCCAGCTCCTGATTTTTAACAGATTTTTAATTCTTCACTAACAGTGCTCAGGCATCTGCCCACTGCACAGGGACAGATGGGACCCTGTATCTGTCTTAATAACATACCTTTGTTAGATGTATCCTACACTGACTTGGTGAAGGTCCAGGGTCTGGTGTCCACAGCCATAGCATCTAAAGTGCACAGAACACCTTTTCTTTCTTTTCTTTTTTAAAATTTAAATTAGAAACATTCTTGTTTTCATGTCAATCCCAGTTCCCTCACCTTCCCCTCCTCCCATCCCCCCCCCAACTCCCTATCCCATTCCCTTTCTGCTCCCCAGGGAGGGTGAGGCCTTCCATGGGAGATCTTCAAAGTCTATCATATCATTTGGAACAGGGCCCAGGCCCTCCCCTGTGTGTCTAGGCTGAGGGAGTATCCTTCCATGTGGGATGGGCTCCCAAAGTCCATTCCTATACTAGGGTTAGATACTGATTCACTACCAGAGGCCCCATATATTGCTCAGGCCTCCTAACTGACACCCATGTTTATGGGTCTGGGTTGGTCCCATGCTGGTTTCCCAGCTATCAGAGTGGGGTCCATAAGCATCCACTTGCTCAGGTCAGCTATTTCTGTGGGTTTCTCCAGCCTGGTCTTGACCCCTTTGCTCATCACTCCTCCCTCTCTACAACTGGATTCCAGGTGTTTGGCTTAGTGTTTAGCTGTGGGTGTCTGCTTCTGCTTCCATCAGCTACTAGATGAAGGCTCTAGGATGGCATATAGGGTAGTCATCAATCTCTTTATTGAGGAAGGGCATTTAAGGTAGCCTCTCCCAGAGTATATTCATTTTGGGTTTTGTTTCATTTTGCTATTGCTGGATATGGAATCATAGCCTTATTCTTGCTAAAAAAGTCCTCTTATCATTGAGCCCATAATTTTCTTACCCTTAATTGATGCGATAACAATTACACAGCAACAGGAAAGAAGAATCACAAACATTTTTTTCACTTGAGGTACTCGAGGGGCTTGTAACACACATGTTGTGATGTTTTGTTTTGACACTGGACTGGACACTATGGGAAATATGATGACAAACTCTTAAGGCAATCACTTAAGATGGAAAAGAAATAAAATGTAATTTCTAAGAAAAGACAGAAATGGAAGGCTAAAATGCTTGGGGAATGTTACAAAATGTTACAGAAGAAGGCGGCAGACCAAATCAGAAACAAAGAACAGGAGCTGTAAATATGCTAGCTATTAACTGCCAGTCATTTTGGAAGGTAGTCTCAGTCCTCCACAAAAACCAAACATATTCTTAGTATATGACCCAGAAACCACACTCTGGTACTTAGCCACACAAGTTGAAAACGTAAACCCACATGACACTTCTTTTCAGGGAGGCTCCGGGCTTCCCCCAAACAATCCTGGCAATTGCCACTATGATGAGACCCTATTGCTGATGATACCATACACCATGGTTGCAAGACATAGAAAAAATCATGATAGAACCAAGCTGGAAGCTTTCTCCCTGTTGGTTACCTTTCATAGCCATGCAAGCTTCGAGGAGAGAAAAGGTATCAATGGTCTTACTCATCTGTAAACCCCTATAAACTACAATGCCAGCCTGCCAGGCAAGATGTGTCTACCAATGCAATCCTGGCACAACTGTTGTGGAGTAAATGATCATCTAACTGGATTTGAGGTCTCCACAGGAGAAAATTCGTGCCTGGTACTTTAAGTTCAGTCGAAACAAACAAAAACAAAACAACAAAAAACAAAAAATGAAAAAAATAATGGCTGAGTGTCATAGGCCCTAGCAGAGAGCTTGCTACTGTTGTTTAGCTAAATTGACATGACACTACTCAAGGCTCAAGGCTGGTCAAAGTACTGAGGCTAAGTGACCATAGGGTTCTCAGTCCTAAACAGGACATTTAGACCAATCACATTAAGGTTCAGAAGATGTGGTGGTTTGAAAGAACTACTCCCTCGAGGGGAGTAGTACTATGTGGCACTAGGTGTGGCTTTGTTGGAGGAAGTGTCATTGTCAGAGTGGGCCTTGAGGTCTCCTATGCTCGAGCTATACCCAGTAACGCAGTTTACTTCCAGTCATCTGCAGATAGATGTGTAGAACTCTCAGTTCCTTCTCCAGCATCGTGTCTTATCTACCTGCCACAATATCCCACCATGATAATGAACTAAACCTCTGAACTGTAAGCAAGCCCCAGTTTAATGTTTTCCTTTATGAGAGTTGCCATGGTCATGGTTTCTCTTCACAGCAATGGAAACCCTAACTAAGGCAGCGGATGTCATAGAAGAGGGAGTGGAAAGGATGTGAGAGCCGGAAGGTAGGAAGCAGGGCTGAAAATGCTATCTTCAGAGTATGACATGGCCGTGAAAATAACTCATAGTAGCTACAGCTGCCTTTAGTCAGCCTGCAGAAGACTGAGCTTGTCAGTTACCAATCATGGCTCAGGAAAGAGTTTGTGAGGCTTCACTTTTTCCAGATGAACTGTTGTTGACTGAGCTCATTAGTTGTCTTTATCGTTGTACTCACTGGTGAGTTTATCAGGCTCCAATGGG